GTCGTAGGTCGTAGGTTTGAGCTCACGTAGTTAAACAGTAAATCTAGAAGAAAGCCCACGTCGACACAGCCGCGCGCCTATAATATATAATATATATGTCGTGTGTGTGGGGCTTCGTGCGGCGTTTTTGTGGTGGTGTGGGGTGTGTGTTGTGTGTTGTTTTGTGTGTGTTTTTTTTTGTGTGTGTCGTGTTTGTGTTTTATTGTTTCTGTTTTTCGTTTGTGTTGTGGTTGTGCGTTTTGCGTGTGTTCTTCTGCGGCTTTGGGTGTGGGTGGTGGGGTTAGCTCCTTGTTGTATTGTTGGTTTGTGTTTTTTTCTGTCGTTGCGGTGTGTCGCTTCGCGGCGTGAGTGCTTCTGGCGTGTGCTCTCTCTGCTCTTGTTTTGTTTTTGTGTGTTGGGTGTTGTTTGAGGTGTCCCCTGTTTCGTGTTCGTGTTCGTGTTCGTGTTTGTGTTTGTGTTCGTGTTTGTGTGTGTGCGCGTGCGTGCGTGCGTACGCGCGCGTGTGTGTGTTTGTGTGTGTGCGCGCGTGCCCGCGTGCGTGTGTGCGTGCGTGTGTGTGCGTGCGTGTGTGTGTCAGTGTGTCATGTAGGTCAATATTTCACACAACCTTCTGTATTAATTTTATAGAGATCAGACGTCTCTCTATTATTAGGTTGATCGGATTTCGTGATAACCCTAAGCGTAATTTTATTTCTTTAATTTAATATCATCATCATCCTCATCTTCATCTCAGTTCGTTTATAAATTTAATGATCGACGACGACGACGAGGACGATGATGATGATGGCGGCGGCAGTGGATGTGAAGATAGTGATGTTGTGGCGTCAGTTTGGTTAGGATGCTGTGTTCGTGCACAACGCAGCAGACATGTAGTTAGTTTGTCAGTTAGTTGCTAGGAAAGTTATTTATGGTGCTTTGTATCTGTCCAGCGCAGCCTCTTTAGTCAATACAAGCTGTCTCTGCATGTTCACTCTGTTTTCACTCACTCAGTTTTATGAGTCGTCTGCATTTAGCGTGGGGCGCCCACGCTAGCACGTGCCTCATAAATAATTTATTCAAGACGCGGACGCTATATTATTATATTATCGTATCGCATTGCCATTGAGCGCTCACGCACTGCGCCAACCGTTCACAAACATCTATTAAACTTCGATATCTATCTTTGCGTGTCTGGCTCTGAGATGACCCTAGTATCCGTGTGAGTTTTTGTTTTATGCGCGGATGTACGTTTTGCAGTAGTGATGCGCGCCGAGAGAGAAACACTTTTTTTAACTCAATTCCGTCATCGCAGCTGAATCCACCGTAAGGTAGCGCCGCTGACGTCTGCTCGCGGCGCCCCTGGCGACGGTTACCGTAATTAAAGCAGAGGATAATGAAGAGAGGCATTGTAAGTCACATCGTAGGCTCGTAGCTGTAGTGTAATCTGAGTTGGGTGGAGAATATAGGTTCGTACGCACCGCGCGCTTCTGTGGCGATACTAATGACAGCAATACTGCGCCTTGTCGCATGTCACAATTATTTCTATCGAACCTGATTCCGCGTGTCATTTGATCTATTATGTATATATATATATAAATTATATACATATATATATATATATGACCCGTGCGTTCTGGCAAGATATATGGGTCTGTCACATGAGCAGCTCAGCAAACAACTACAGCGTGTAGAAGGCCAGCAACGCTCTCTGTTCGTATACGTGTAGCTGTATGGCCCTGCGGTATTTCTACCACCAGGTGGCAGAACGATGCATCTCACTGTAGACTCCTTTTGACTGACTCCATACGTCGTTGCGAACTGAGATGACTGCAATCAGGGGGTTTTAGCGGAAGTTTGGCAAGATTCCCACTAGGGCGTCTTTATCTTCCTGACTTGGATCGGTGCCGAGGCTTTTGAAGGTAACATATCCGCAACGTGCGTTGGCTAGATTACCTGAAAAGATACGGAATTACTACCTTGCCCTGTCATTTCGCTCCCTCCCTTTCTCCCGCCCTTTCCTCCCTCTCTTACTCTATTCTTTCTCCCTTCCTCCCTCTATTATTTCCTCTCACCTTCCCTCCATTCCTCTCTCTATTTTATCCACCCTCCCTCCCTCCCTCACTCCTTGCTTTCTTTCCTCTTCCCTTCCTCCCTCCCTGCAACGCCGTTTGATTTGGAACCGTTCCATAAATCAACGCATCTGCAGATGAAATCTTTAAGGAGCAAAAACCAGCTAGTGCCTATCAACCATATTTCATCGAACGGCGTGTATCGGACAGAGCTCTCTTTCTCTCTCTCTCTCTCTCTTCTCTCTCTCTCTCTCTCTCTCTCTCTCTGCTCTCTCTGCTCTCTCTCTCTTCTCTGCCTCTCTCATCTCTCTCTCTCTCTCTTCTCTCTCTCTTCTCTATCTCTCTCCTCTCGCACAACACCACACACACACTCATTCTCGCTCTCTCTCTCTCACGCTCTCTCTCTCTTCTCTCTTACTTTTCGCCGCTCTCTCTCTCTGCGCTCTCATCCTCTCTCTCTCTCTCTCTCTCTATTTCTTTCCTTTCTTCTTGTTTTCGCTACCCTCTATCTGCGTCTCTCTTTCCTTTCTCTCTCTCATCTCTTTCTCTCTCTCTCTCTCTTTATTCTCTCTCTCTCTCTGTCTATCTCTCTCTCTCCTTATCTCTCCTCCTCTGCCCACACCCGCCCTCTCTCGTCTCTCTCCCCCCTCTTCGATCTCCTCTCTCTTCTCTTTGCTTTCTTTCTCTAATCTCTCTCTTTCGTCCTCTCTCTCTCTCTCTCGTTCTCCCCTCTCATCTTTATCTTTCCTACTCTCGCTTCTCTCTCTCGTTGCTCCCCCTCTCTCTCTCTTCTCACTCACTCATCTCTCGCGCCGTCTGCGGCGCGGTCGCGTCGCCGTGGACTCGCCCTGCCACGGACGCGCGTGCGTGCGTAGCTTGACCCGTGCACACAGCTCTCCGTGTGCTTGTCGGCACGCTGTGTTCATGCTATGTTATACACGCCTCGTCGTGTCACATGCCAGGTGACAGGCTGACGCCACGCGCGTAGGGTGTCAATCCTGTGACGAGGGTGCGCGGGGGTGACGACCTCGTGGTGGCTGTGACCGCAGGCGCTGGCGGCGGGACCGGCTTAATGGAAGTGTCGGCGGTCCGTGGCTGCCGCGGCGCTATAGTAAGCGGTGGTGGATGGTCGGTGGCGGAGGCGGGGGTGGAGGCAAAGCCAAATAGTGCTCGATCCACCTGTCGCACGCGCGCATGCGCACTGCAGCGTTTACGAATCCCTGTTGCGGCAGCTGGCAGCAGCTCTCTGGCCTTCCCCTCCTGTCAGTCCATCCTCTGCTAGCCGCTGCCGCTGCCCAGCCTCCTAGCATCGCATACCCCGCAGACACGTAGACGCTTAGTTACTGTAGTGAACGGGAACGCTGACTATCAGTGTTACTGTAGGGGCTACTGCCGCATGGTCGAAAAGAAGAGGAGAGTTACCGTTTGTCTGTTGCTGCAGATTGCGGCTGTGTCGATATTGCCGCCAGAGGGCAATGCAGGAGCGTAGATACTGTCGCCAGGGGGCAATGCATAAGTGTAGGTATTGCCTCTAGGTGGACACGCAGGAGTGTATATATTGCCACCAGAGTGCAGTGCAGTAGTGTACATGTTGGCGCCAGGGGGCAGTGAAGTAGTGTAAATATTGTTGACTAATCGTCCTCATTGTTATCAGCGGCTCGGGCGACGCTGCTGCCCTCTACTGGCTCACACTAGTATCAGTGAGCCGTAGGGTAGCAGACGAGACTGTGTGATATAGGGAGACGATCACGTGTCTATCTACACGCGTCACGATGCATGCTGCATGATGCAGCCAGTAACGATGTGACTGCTTGTGACCTAGGCGTCGCAACCAACATGCGTGCGTGCGTGTGTGCGTGCGTGCGTCCGTGCGTGCGTGCGTGCGTGTGACGGCGTAGCAACCAATGTGCGTGCGCGCCTGCATGTGTGCGTACGTACGTGCGTGCGTGCGTGCGTCCGTGCGTGCGTGCGTGCATGCTTGTGACGGCGTAGCAACCGACGTGCGTGTGTGCGTGCGTGCATTCGTGCGTGCGTGCGTGCGTGTGACGGCGTAGCAACCAACGTGCGTGCGTGCGTGCGTGCGTGCGTGCGTGCGTGCCTGCTTGTGACGGTGTAGCAACCAATGTGCATGCGTGCTTGCGTGCATGCGTACGTACGTGCGTGCGTACGCGCCTGCGTGTGTACGTGCGTGCGTGCGTGCGTGCGTGCGTGCGTGCTCGGTGGAGCAGTGTGCTCCACATGAGAGCGTAATTCTCATCACGGCTAGCTGTTTCCCTGCAGCTACGTACCGCTGTTGGGCATTTCTATAGATGTTGAACAACAGTAGAGGGTGTCCATAGGCTGCAGGCCTGAATAAGCATCGAACAGAAATCAATTAAAAATACTCACACTGTTACTGCACTTACAAAACATACACTTTACTCATGTTAAATAACTACAGATTCATGCTCTATGCTCCGCTCAAAACTTTTGCCAGCTCTATGATGCGAATTTCTGCAAAGTTGTCTGAACACATTTCATACACAAAAATCACCAGCCGGTCGCTGCGGCTACGCCATCTGCCGGAATGTCACGAGTACACAACAAGACCAATTTTACTTCTAATGCTTTCTAGACGTCCACGAGGCATCTAACTTGCGTGCATAATGCAAATTATTGCAATCTAGTGCCGAATTTCGGCGAAAAAATGCAAACAAAGGCCTTTTCTAGAGACGTAATAGTGCAACGCCTATAGAGCAGCCGGCGTGCGCGCTCGGGCGAGCGTATGCGCATGTGTCATGCCGACCGGTTGCTTTCTCCGCTGCTGCAGGCGGTAGACGAGTGCTGTGCTCGCCAATACAACCTCGCATATCGTGATTTCGCGTGCGTGGGAGAGAATAGCTACGAGCGTGGTTAGAGAAAAGAAGATAAAGTGCAGGCAGAGAAGCGAGCAACATATAAGCAGTGGAGAGAGAGAGAGAGAGAGACGCGAGAACGTACAGGCAGCGAAGCGAGAAGCGGGGGAGCTAAAAGCGTGGAGGATGCTGCGTCTGAAAGCACTGGCATCCTTGCAGCAACAGCAGCAACAGTAGCAGTAGCAGCAGCGGTAAATAGAGGATAGCTCTCCATCTCTCCGCTTCCTCGGCTCGATGCTACGAAGTGCGTGTGATAGCAGCTGACGCACATAGCTACACGTGGTGTGTTGTAAGTGAGTGAGATATAGTGTTTCTTGCCGCCGTGTTGTGTGAGCTACGGTTCACGGTACGATCGCACTGTGCCGCACTGCTCTGATCGCGGCTGTTTCTCCACCATGTAAGTATATATATATATGTGTGTGTGTGTGTGTGTGTGTGTGTGTGTGGTGTGTGTTGTGTGTGTGTGGTGGTGTGTGTGTGTGTGTGTGTGTGGGTGTGTGTGTGTTGCCGTGCGTGCGTACGCGTGGCGTGACGTGCGTTGCGTAGCGTGCGTGCGCGTGCGTGCGCGCGCGCGTGCCGTGGCGTGCGTGCGTGTGGGTGTGTGTGTGTGTTGTTGTGCTGTGTGTGTGTGTGCGTGCGTGTGTAAGTGCGCGCGCGTGCGTGTGTGTGTGTGTGCGTGCGTGTGTGGAGTGAGTGGTGGCTGCGAGGCTATACCTTGGTTTCGTGAAATCTCAACCGAGTAACGAGTGTGTTGTATCGTTCGCTCATGAATCCCGTAGATTCGTTCCTTCGCTGATCTCGCTACCTCCTCCGCATTAAAGAAATTCGAGCTACCCCTCGTATCCCTGCTTCATCGTCCCATGACCACCACCCTGTACCTCATAGCTTGTCCTTCTGCTCGACTGTCCGGTTTATGTCTCAGTAACATAGTCCCTCCTAACACCAGTACTGTCTCCTTAACTAACGGCACTCTCTATTTAACCCCTAGTATCTTGTGTCTCGTGCGGCAGTGCCCTCTCCTAATGATAGCCTGTACTTTCTTTTTAAATCTTACTACTCTAGCTCTCTCAACATCCTAGTACATTCTCCCATGCCGCCCGACCTTCCCCTATACACTGATTACCCTTTCTACTTGACTTCTCGGCTGATCGCCCCTGCCCCACCCCGCAGACGTTAAGCACCGGCTAAGTTTGTTTTCGGTAAAATATTCCGTAGTTGTCTGTGCACAGGCTACTGGCTCCTCTTCTTCCTCCTCCTCCTCCTCCTCCTCCGCCTCCTCATCTTTCTCCGCCCTCTGCTCTACAGAGAATCCCGCAGTGAATGCTGATATACCATGGGCCATACTGCATCGAGCTGCTGCTGTTCAAACCACTGACTCCAGTGACGAACCGCTGCATTAATTCATACTGACAGAATAAAAGCGTTCTTCAGATACGCTATAGACTAGATGGTCCTCCTCGATTGATGGAAATGTTCATAGACACGTACATTCGTTCGAATCACTTATACATTCGTGAGCCAATCACACCGCCAGCCAAAAAATAATCCGTTTTTATTGGAGAAAACGATTCCGTGAAAAATGTATATGCAGTATGTTAGCTTCCGGCTGTTAACCCAAGCCACGACATTTACCTTGTAGCAAATAATTTCATGAAAAACACATCTGTTTGCACTACTTGGAAGGTCTAAATTTTTATTTCTAAGAAGCTTTAAATAGCTGTCGCTACACCGGTACGTGGGGTAGCAGGCGATTTTCCGGCACTCTTATTTTAACTACAGCCCGTGCTAAAAATTCGAAATCGTCTTTACTTTTCATCATCTTCCTTCAGTGTAAAGTGTTCAGTGCATTGTAAGGTGGTTCGATGCGGAGGTGGACAACCGCACAATTCCGGTCGATGTGAAAAAAGGAAATTCTTGCCTTTTATGTCAACCACCGTAAACGCAGTTGTCATGGTTCACCGACTACACCCGACCGCATACCCCTCCTTCCCCTTCCACGTAACTACGTACTAATCATATATATATATATATATATATATATA